CAAAACACCACATAACATGGATGAACTTGGAGGACATTATGCTGAGTGAAGTAAGTCAATCACAAAAGGTCAAATACTATATTAGTCCATTATTGTTAAAGTTAAGAAACAGTTTATATATGGAAGGAAATTTTCTTTGATGATTACCAGGGGTAGGAGGGTAGGGTAGGGAACACTGTTAGATAGGTAGAAATAAGTATTGATTTGGGTGAAGAGAATGGCAATGTACCAAATGTGAGTAATCAACATGGTGGCACTGAGGTACATGGGAGGTGCAGACAACAAAGATGAACCCTTTTGCACATGTAGTACTGCGTTGTCAGTGAAGGCAAACATGGGTTACAGGTGGATAGATGGGTGGACAGGCTGAACTATTAGGCATTGAGTGTACCCAAGACCTTGTATAGGGTTGGCAGACGATGGTTCTATAAGTTTATTTGTATGTTCTGTAAAAATTCCCAGGAGTATAGCAGAGCTGACAAGGGACAAGGTTGTAGTCACTTCTTGGTCACAGCCAGCTACCCAGAGGGACTGAGTAGTTGAACCTGTGGGCTCAGGACCACAGTCGCAGGTGACATCAAGCTCAATTGGCATAACATACTAAACAAAACATTGTTCCACCTCTTACTTTGGCAAGTACCGACTGGGATCTTAAAAGTCTGCAAGCAGCCATCTAGATGCAACAATGGGTCTCTACTCATCTGGAGCAAAGAATAATGAAGACAAAGATTTATGGAAACAATTAGTCCTCATGACTGGTACACCCTGCAATCCTCAGACTATACGACTATGAAGACCAGAAGAACTAGATGGTGCCCGGCTACCACTGTCAATCACTCGGAGGAGGATCTATGTAGGAGATCCTGGATAGAGAGGGACAACAATGTGGAACAAAACTCCAAATCATTTAGGGGAAAAAAAAAAAAAAGTAGATCAGGTTTGCTGGTCCGAGCCTGGTGGAACCACTGAGACTATAGCCCCTAGCTGCATTTCAGGTCTGGGATTGAACCCACTCCTGTGGCTTTCAGCCAAACAAAAGACAGGCATAAGAGTTGAACATGTACACTCCTTGGAGAGAACAATCACGGGAGAAAGAATGGCTGTTTATGCACAGGGGGACAGCTCACGGGGCAGGAGTACATGGAGCCATGACACAGAGAAGAGGTAACTATTGGGAGGAAGTGGGAGGGGAGGTGTTGCATTGGGTAAATTGTAGTCAATGTCATGAGACAGAGTGTATGTGAACTGCTACATGGAAAGTGAATTTGCTCTGTAAATTTTCACCCAAATCTCACACACACACACACACACACACACACACAAAGTTAAAAATTTCTTAGAGTTGACAGTACAGAGTTCACACATACATATACCTCACATTATTAACATCTTACATTAGTATAGAAACCAAACCATGTTTGTTGCAATTAATGAGCCAATATTGATACATTATTATTAACTAAAGTCCACACTTTATTCAGATTGCCTTAATTTTTTCCTAATGTCCTTTTCCTGTCTGAGTAGCCCATCCAGGTCCCATGTTACATTTAGTCATCATGTCCATAAGCTCCTCTTGGTTGTGGTAAGTTTCTCAGACATTCCTTGTTATGATTTTGACAGCTTTGAGTATAGGTCAGGTGTTTTGTAGAATGTCTCTCTATTGGGATGTCTTATTTTTCTCATGATTAGACTGGGGTTATGGGTTTTGGGGAGGAAGACCACAGAGGTAAAGTGCCATTCTCATCATATCATATCAAGATACATACTATCAGTACATACTACCAACATGACATCACTGATGATGCTGATCTTCCACCACCTGGCTGCCTTAGTATTGGTTAGGTTTTTCCACTGTGAAGTTATTCTTTTCCCCCTTTCCATTCTGCACTTTTGGAATGATGTCACAATGCACAGCCCACACTTAGGGAGTGGGGCTCCCTAAGTCTTTTAGGGTGGAGTATGCACATCAATTATTGAGTTCTCATGTCTGGGAGAAGGCTGGGCATTTTTATGAGCATGAGGAGACTGCTGTGGTCCTCAGTCTGTACTCCCTGAACACAGTGTGGTGAGTGGAAGGGCCCTGTTCTCCAAGCCAGACTGCATTCCTACCCTAGCTCTGCCACTTGCCGTCCTGTGACCCTGAGCAAGCTGCCTAACCTCCTTAAGACTTGTTCTCTCACCTGTCAGTGGAGTGAACACATTGGCTCTGCAGGGCTATTATGAGGATTCTAATGCAAACTGTGGAGTCTCTGGTACAAATGATTGAACCACCTGGCTGCTAACCTAAAGGATGGAGGTTCAAGTTCACCCAGGGGTGTCCTGAAAGGAAGTCCTGGTGATCTACTTCTGAAAAATCAACCACTGAAAACCTTATGGCACACAGTTCTACTCTGACACACACAACTGTGGGAGTAGATTTGATAGCACCTAGTTTTAATGTAGGAGGTCTGGTAGCACAGTGGTTAAAGCATTCAGCTGTTAATCAGAAGGCTGGTAGTTTGAACCCACCAGCTGCTCTGGGGGAGAAAGATGAGGCAGTCTGCATTCCATAAAGATTAACAGCCTTGGAAACCCTATGAGGCAGTTCTACTCTGTCCTATAGGGTCACTACGAATGAGACTCCACTCAATGGCAGTGGGTTTGGTTTGATTAGTGCTTAGCCCAACTGCTGGCACTTGTTGGCTTCTAAAAGTCTACTAGTTGTTTCCTATTTCAGAACACTAGAAGCATCTCCTGAGCTTGAAGGCTTTCCCCAGCCCTTACTCCCAGTGAACGCTCTTTAACAGCATGTACACGCGAGCTCCATGGTGCCCATCTTTGAGGCATGGAGGGTGCAGGACTGTTGTTTCTGCAGGTGCCTCTGCAGAGCTCACCATCCAGAGGGGGAGAAAGACTGAAGACCCACACAAGGGGGTGGTGAGTGCTGTCCATGGGGAGCTGGGGGGCAGAGGGGCTGCCTAGGCTGACAGAATCTCTACGGAGGCAGAAACTAGGCTGAGACTTCACAGTAGGGGGTACTGGCAGAGCATCCTGCTGAGGTGGCAGTGACAACTGGCTCAATGTAGAAGAAAAAGCTGGAGAGGCTGGAACAGAGTGAGCAAGGGTGAGGAGGGAAGGACTGGGTCACTGCAGGTTTACAGGTCACAGCGGGCAGCTGGGGATTACTCTAATCAGCAGAAGATGCTGGAGGATTCTAAGCAGGCACCAATATGACCAGACCTCCATTTTAAATTACTTGGGTGGCTGTGTGAGAAGAGGTCAGTGGGGCCAAGGTGCACTTAGGACACTTCTGAAGTGCCCACGCAGAGGAGGGCATGGTAAGTGGTGGCCATGGAAATGAAGGGGCGGAGAGGGACTCAGGAATCACTGAAAAAGACTGGGTTTGCTGGTCTGATAGAGCCTGGTGAGACCTCTGAGACTACGGCCTCTAGTTACCCTTCAGGTCTGGAGCTGAACTCCTGTGACTTCCAACCTAACAACAGACAGGCATATGGGGTGAACATTTATATCAGGTAGATACACTATTTGGAGTGATCAATCATGGGAGAACAGAAGGGCAGTGTTTTCACAGTGAGACAGCTGGGGGGGGGTGGGAGGAATGCACCAAAGGGAAGGGCACAGGGAAGAGGTAACTATGGGGAGGAAGTGGGAAGATAGCTGTTACATTGTGGGGAATTGTAGTCAATGTCATGAAACAAAATGTGTATGAACTGCTGTATGGAAAATGAATTTGCTCTGTTAACTTTCACCCAAATCACGGTAAAAATTTAAAAAAAGAAAAAAAAAAAAAAGAGGGACTCAGGACATGCGTTGAAGAAGCCAACAGGACGGGCTATGGTTAGGACATGGGAGATGAGGGGTGGGCATTAAAGGATGTCCTGCTTTTAACAACCTGAGTGAACGATAGGAGGAGGCCATTTACAGAGGGAGGAAGATGAGAAGAGCAAATTCAAGAGCCCACCAGACACACAAGTGGAGCTGGTTCTCTCCCCATAAACCTGAACAGGGATCTGTGAGCAAGGGAGGCCCTGGAGGCTAGGACCCTGAGGAGCAGGTATGTTCAGGATGGTCAGTGCTGGGCCAGGGACCATCATCTTAACCCTGATCCTCTGCAGCCTAGTTGCTGCCTCCCCATCTCCTGGGGACACCACCCCCTTGTGTGGGTCTGCAGTCTTTCTCCCCTACTGGATTATGAGCTCTGCAGAGGCGTCACAGAAACAACAGTCCTGCACCCTCCATGTCTCAAAGATGGGTACCATGGAGCTCGCGTGTACATGCTCTATAGAGCTCTGTCTCAAGATCTCAGGCCCAGCTTCTAGTGCAAGGCAATCCTGCTGCCCCAGCTCAGCAGAGCCTCTCTGCCACCAAAAATACCAAGGATCTGTTATAAGAAATGGAACTGGGCCTAAGGAGCCAAAAACCCACTATGCCTAGTGCCAAAAGAGAAGGGAGAGAAGGGGCCATGTATTAGCTGCTCTACTTAGTGCTGAACTGTGGCTCTTCTATTAGAGCTTAAAATCTAAAGAACTTCAGAATAATCTATGGGAATTATGAATAAATGAATCACAAACAAACAAAAAATCTAAAGCACTAGGTTTGTGGAAGGCTATGGTCTACAGTGGCAGCCCTATCTCTGTTTTGAGTCTTAACATAAGTTCAGATGCCAATTGAGTTTTCTGACCTTAACATTGTGGCTCCGTGTAGACAAGTTCCAGGTCAAACCTAGGGAGGGGCAGTTTGCACTGAGAGGAGTATGGTTGAAAGCCATACTCTTTGCTCACACAAAGAACTAGGGAACTTGCCTGACTGTGTCCTTTTCTAATTGAAATTAAGGTTGGGGGTCTTAGTATTGTTTTGTGGTCACCTTGTGGCTATGGCTCAGGTTACATGGTCATGAGTCATAATCAGACCACCACCTAACCAGGTAGTCAATCAAGGCCCAGAACCAATCCTGCAACCCTTTTCTATCTTTAATTCTATCTTTAATTATGTACCTGAATCATGAAATCAATTGCCACCAGTCATGATTTTGTGATGAGTCCCTTTGTTTTCAATCATATATAATTAGCCCCATGGCCGTGACTCAGTGGACTCCATTCAGCTTTCTGTACTGTGTAGTGCTGATGGTTTCCCTCATCTTGGATGATTGCCTTTGTTTTGTCTTTGTCCTCTCCAGGTCTTAGTAAAAGTGTCCTATTGAACCTGTTTGAATCTAAAGTCTCTTTTCCCCTTTTACACTCGAGTCTTTTGCTACTGAGTGCCCTCAGGGAAAATGAGGCAGTGGAGTGCCCCATAGTACTCACAGCTGTACTGCAGTTTAAGGGCTTTGCACAAATGCCAGGGAGGTGTCATTGCTCCTGGATTTTAATAAAACCACAACACTGAGATTTCAGTAATAGCTGGTAGCAAAAAGCCTTGCTGCACTCACAGCATTAAGCTCCAGCCTTGCCTTGTTGAGATGCACCCTGACCCAGATTGTCAGTGCCTCTGCCTGGGTGGAGTCCCTTCCATTGCTGCCCATACCTCTTCACCACAGCCACAGAACCAATGGCCTTCCTTCCTCCAGGGTTGCCAGGAAGCCCCACAAGCCTGAGAATGAGTATATGGACTCAGCGACATAGGCCCTCTGAGGGCACCACTGAGACTTGAGCCATAGTCATGTATGTGTGTGGCGGGGGGCAGGGACATGTGGGGCTGGTCTTCCCTGAGGTCATTGTGAGTCTGGGTCCTCCAGCCCAGCCATAAGTCAAAATAGCAGGGCTTTGCCAAACCCCACTGCAGGGCCGGGGCTGACAGATACCTCACATGCAACGAAGTTCAGTCCTTCCCTTTCCATTCCAGTGTGTACTCCCCTGACATTGCTCAATGTGCCCTGAGGTACTCCCCACTGTCTCCTCCACAAGGCAAGGTGATTCCTGAGGGGTATCAGTATACCCCACTTCCAGCCTCAGGCCTGGGGCCTGGCAAAGGGCAGATGCTTGGGGAGGGGCCAATTCAACCAGCTAGGCCCTCACACATGGCCCTAGGCTGGGCCAAGGATCCTGGGAACTGCTGCTGAACAGGCCCACAAGGTTCCCTGTGAATTAGGCAGGGCTGAGGGAATCAGTCTGAGGGACGTCCAAGCCCACACCCTTCCCTCTGTGGCTTTAGCCTCTGAGCAAAAGGATCTCACCTCCCTCAGGGGTATGATGAGGTGGCATGCATCCTCCTCCTTGCTAGCAAAGCAGATGTAGTTGTTGGAGATGAACATCTGGCCAGGGATATGCAGCTTGTTGAAGGGCGTCCACAGGGTACAGCCCGTGTGGCCATCCAGGCGCTCATCCCTGGGCAGCCGGAAGGTGGCCCGGTAGCACTCATTCTTGGCACGTGCGTCTAGGTCTCTGGGGGAATGAAAGAAAAGGGGCAAGAGTCAGGGTCAGCACTCTTGTGAGGGAGCCCTAGGACCTCACTGGGCTTGTTTCCTCATTCTTTAGTGAACAGTGGGATTCAGTGGGATCTCAGGGGTCCTCCTGTGAGCAAGATTTGACCAGGGACCTCAGATTTCAATGAAACTGTGCTTTAAATGACTAAGCCAAATGTGGGCTATTCATGACAAGCCAAGAAGTGGTTCAAAATAACATGCCCATGGGACCCGACTCCTTGGACAGAAGACCCAGATGTTACACAGGCAGTGCCCTGTACCTGGCCCTGATGTCCAGCGTGGAATCTCTGGCCCAAAGGCTGCTTCTTTACATTGGGGAAAGCCCAACCCTACCTAAAAACCCTAGATAAGAACCCCCAAGTGGAGTTTAAACTGAAATATGAAGTCACTGTCACTTAATAAAAATCCATGCTCATAAGTGCAGGGGCTGTGAGGTGGTCCTTGTCCCTGGGATGACTCTGTCCATATAAACTCTCTCCACTGCCCCAATGGGGCCTTCTGCCTGCCTTAGACAGCTGCAGCCTGATCAAGGCATGCCTGGCTCACCTGACATAATGGTGACAGAGATTGCTGAAATACCCCAGACATATTCTTTTTTTTTTTTTTAAGACGGTCTTAAGAGGCACCCCTTCTCTCCCATCAAGAATGAGGTCCTTGCTGTATGGAAAATGAATGTGCTCTGTAAGCTTTCACCCAAATCATGATTAAAAAAAAAAAAAAAAAAAGAGGTCCTTGGTCAATGTTGCAGCCCATAGGCATACCCCAGAGCCTAGGGCTTAGACTACATCTCCAGCTATGACTCAGGAGTGGCCAGGCTGGGATGAGTGCTCCTAGAGCTTGATGCCACATGCTGGCTGTGGGATCCCAGGGCATCACTGAGCCCAGAGCTCTTGGCCAGTCTTGCAGGTTTCTGTAACTCTACAACCTGAGTGCTCAAGCAACGGTGCTCTGAGGGGCCAGCCATCAACATTTGCCTTCTGACCGTCCATCCCCAATCAAGCCAATGGTGAGGTCCGTCATTCATCCAGTCTGTCTCCTCAGCTTGGTGTAAATGGAAGACCCAGGAAGTCTGGCCCCTCAGCTGCAAGGGGCCTTCTGGCCCAGGCCGTCTCATGAACAGCAGTCAGTCTCCATCCCACTGAGCCCAGATTCACCAGAGTGTTCCAAATATAACCTCTAGAAGGTCTCAGAGAACCTGACCGTATCCTGACTCAGCCAGTGGGAGGACAGGCTCTGTGGCCAGCTTCTTGGCTCGTCCACTCAGTAGCTAAGTTACTTCAGACAAGTTACTTAACTTCTCTGTGCCTCAGGTTCCTTATCTGAGACCTTAGTAGTAAGAGCACCTACTCATGGTAGAATATAAAGTACTTCTGTTATATAAGTGGCTACTTTATGATGCACCACTGCCAATCTCTCTTGGTGCCCTCCTCATGCTATATTACGATGATCTGTTCACCTGCCCTTCTTCCCAGTGGCCAGGTGAACCCACCCACCCACACTAGAGACCCTTCCGCCCCAAAGGACAACGCACCGCTTCAGAGCTGAGATATTCCTGTGTGGCCGGATGGGTCTGGGTAGGGCCTTTTCCTCCAGGAAGCCTTCGCTATCCAACAGCTGTCGCATGGCCAGGTTGGCCAGCTGCTCCATGAGCTTGAAAGTCTCGCTGATGTTGAGGAACATGGAGAAGAAGAGTTCTTGGTCCCGGGTATCCACGCGGATGCTCTCAGGGAAGAGCAGAGTGGCATTCTTCTCCAGCCGTGTAACATCTACCCACTGCACCACGAGGCTCACTAGACATACAGGTAAGACACACCACTGGTAACCACATGCAGAGGGCTCTGCAAGGGGGCTCCAACTACCACCTGCACCTGTACCCACCAGAGGGCTCCAGTGGTAACACTGAGACAAGTACTTTGTGAGGAAGGATTGCAGCCAGTGTCCACTGCACCCCAGCCCCACCCAAGCACCTAGCCTGGCAACTTACTCTAAGCATTTGCCCAGCGAGTGAATGAAGAATGAAATGAATGAAGGCACAGAGATGAACTATAAAGAAGATCCCAGTCTCAAGAAACTCACAAGTCACAACAGGGCATGACCAGTACAGAGAGGATACTACTGCCTGGTGAGGACAGGGGGAAGCTGCCTCAAATCCGGGAGGGGACTGGCATCCTTACTGCCAGGTAAGGTGAGTGAGAGCAGGCAGGAGGAGGCTGTGTGCTGCGGTGGGAGGAGGGCTTGCTGGGCTTAGAAAATGGCAACTACTTATAATAATAGCCAAAGCCCTGGGTGCGTTTTTTTGGGTGATGATGGCAGGAGGAAGCTGACAGTATGGTAAGGGGCCTACACTGCTAGGCCAGGGCGGGTCAACTGCATCCTGAGGCCAGGATTTCCCAAAGGGAGGGACCAGCAGAAGGGGACTGCAGTGGCACAGGGACAAGGCAGATGGTCACTTAGAATTACACAGGGAGATAGATGCCCTCAAACATACTGATTTAAAAGAAAATTACCCTTTAAAGGTAATTTTACATAGTGTCATCCTAGTGGGCTGCAGACATGGTAAAAGCTCCAGGAGCTAGAGGTGCCAGGCTCAAGTTTGGGTGTTCCAACCATGGGCTGCTGAGGTGAAATCCTCTGGTGGTTACGTAGGGGCCAAGAGAAGGAAGACCCCACCATTTTCTGGAGGCAAGGCCAAGAAGTGAGGGGCTGGGGTGTGGAGACCAGGGGCTGGGGGAGTCTTCATCACGAGCCCAGTAGTGCCCACTGCCTGCCTCACTCAGGCCCTGGCTGCCCCGTGTGGGCTCACCTTCCTTTCCCAGCAGGAAGGAGTAGAAGCACAGGTGGTTGACGGTGAGGTAGAGCCAGCCCTGCCGGGGCACACGGCCCTTCCAGTAGCTGCAGGAGTAGTAGTTGACCAGCTTCTCTCCCTCAGGCATCCCGAACTGCTTACGCATCTTCAGTTCAGCCTCCTTGAACTTCCCGGGGTCTTCATCTCCCTGGGGTTGCAAGTTTTTGTTTTCCTCAGCAATGATACCCTGAAGGGGATGAAAGGGCTTGGCTTGCCCAGGCATGTTCCCTGAGGCCTGCCAAGAGTTCTTGCAGCAGAGATGGCCGGTCAGAGGGAGGATCAGGTCACTGGATGGGACCTAGGATTCTTGGGTTGCTGTATTAGGGGAACGAGAAAAGGTGGGCATGAAATTGGCTGCTCCAAGGGATAAAGAAGTTGCACTTGGGCTAGTTCATAGTCAAGGCACATGGATGGATGAATGAATGAACAGGGTTCCTCTGCTTGTATGACTGGGCAAATTCCATCAACCCCCTGAACTGGTATCTGGTTGTTAGAATGGGGCAAGAAGCATCTGCCTCACGGAGGAGCCAGCCCAGTAGGTTGTATACTTTGTCATGTTTTTGAAAGATGTCTGGAGGAAATTAAAATAATAATAAAAAAAGAAAACCAAAACTATGAAAAAGATTAAATGGTTACACAATGAAAAATGAAGTCTTGATATATGCTATGGATGGATGAACCCTGAAAACATGCTGAGTTGAAATAAGTCAGTCACAAAAGGACAAATACTGTATGATCCCACTTCTATGAAATATCTAGAATAGGCAAATGCACAGAGACACAAGTTTGTTAGTAGCACGGGAGCTGACAGGAAGGGGGAAATGTGCAGTTATTACTTAAGGGGCACTGAGTTTCTATTGGGGTGATGAAAAATATTTGAAAATGGATAGGGGTGATAGCTGTAAACATGGTGAATATAATTAATGACACCAAACTGTACATTTAAAGATCGTTAAAATGGCAAATGTTTTGTTATACAGATTTTATCACAGTATTATTATTATTTTTTAAATCACAGGGGTCCTTATAAGAGGGAGGTAGGAGGGTCAGAGTCAGAGAAGGTGATGTGACAACAGAAGCAGAGGGAGAGGGACAGAGAGGGAGAGAGAGAGAGAGGGAGATTGACTGATTGATTGAGAAAGCTATATTGCTGGCCTTGAAATTAAAGGGAGTGGCCATAAGCCAAGGAATACAGGTGGCCTTTAGAAGCTAAAAAAGGCAAGAAATGAATTTCTAGAGCCTCCAGAAATAACCAATCCTGCTTACACCTTGATTTTAGTCTGATGAGAGCTATTTCAGATTCGGACCTCCAGAAACGTAAGAGAATAAATTTGTGTTGTTTGAAGTCACGAAGTTTGTGGTAATTTGTTACAGTAGCAAGAGAGAACTAATATATACAATATAGAATGTATATTATTCTAGGAAAGTATCCATTTTGTCTAAATTTTAAAATTTATTGGCTTTTAAAAAATTCTTTTTTTTAAAAAAATTCCTTTTTTAATAGATCTTTTTTTTTAAATTGTGATTTGGGTGAAGGTTTACAGAGCAAATT